CAGGAGGTGGAGGAGGAGGGGGAGGTGGTTGGGAAGCCTCTTGCTTCCCCTCAAACAGTTTAATATGATCATCCATAGCAGTTCTGTCAATACCAATTGTCTCTGTTTCAACTGATTTATCAACAAGTTCAACTTTATTCTTCTCATTCGCTCTTGCCTGCACAATTGATAAACGTGAGCCAATGATTCGGATGTCCTCTTTTAATGTATCTATCTCTGCAGTGTGTTCATCCCGTAATAATAATAATGTACTGTCCTGTTCTTCCTGCAAGAAAAAGTACAACAAAATAAAATATTTTCTAGTTGAGTAAATCTGGGTCTCTATACAATCGCTACAGCATTTTCACTGCAATCTTTGCACTGCGTAACTGACCCTGACACAATCGCGAATGCTCCCTGATTTAACTGACCAATCAGCGTTGCCAAAGGAGTCGGCGATAGCATGTAGTGATTTTTATGGAAAAAGAGCTTAAATTGAAAATGTACTAAAACAGAAGTGAATACAAGGTATGTTGACTTTCTGAGGCTTTTATCTTATAATATTTTGTTCTTTAACCCCTAAGCCATGATAGTAAGGCAAACAAACATGTGATCATATTTGCACTAAAAATATTCACATTTTGATTATGACTTGTTATGAATTCAGTTACAGTTAAACTAGAAATTGACACAATAAAGTCATAAATAATAATCATATAAAATACAACTTGATTTTTAGTGTAATCTGACATAGACTTTGTTCAAGTCAGACAATAGCTGCAGTGGCATATCCTGAAATAGGGGGCTGAAAGTAAGTGGGGGATCAATGATTATGTGAGGGATCAATGATTAAGTGAGGGGGAATTATACTGGCAAAATACGGTGCTATGAGGTGATTTTTATCTATTTGGGCATGATTTTTTGCTTTGAACATTTTCACTGAGGAGGGAGAGACTGGGAAAGGGGGGTCACAAGTATTTTTAGGGGGAGCATGCTGCCCCGCGCACCTCCTAGATACGCCACCGAAGAGTAGGGAAAGAACAAATTCCCGCAAACCGTTTCAGATATTCAACTATTCACTTGCAATCAATATTGATTTAATCAGAATACAGCTTATCACTTTACAGTACTTTATACTTTAGTATATTTCACTTAATAGCACTTCATTATTGATTCATTGACATGCCACATATTTCAAATTCATTTTGACAATAAAGTTGATTTGTATCTTTTATTCTTCTAGTAATATAATACATATAATTTAATGAAAGAAAATTAAATAAAATTTTACCCTAATTTTGTCAATAATGCTTTGATGTTCCTTCTTTAAGCCCATAATTATCTGTTGATGATCTAAAAAAAAAACAACACAAAAATAAAAATTACTAAATATCATGATAATAATATTGACAATTGATATTGAGATGAAAATTAAATAATGATAATTGTGAGGGTACAGATGAATAAAAATCTACAACAATACATTGTAAGTGATTTCAGGCATTCTGACACCTTTTAAATAAACTTATTACCTTTTTCTGAATATTTCAGTGAGCCAGATATGGCAGTATCAGAAGGCCTTGGTGGGGGCCACACCGATGAAAGTTTCCCAGGTGCGATGTTAAGAGGCTGAGACGGACTTGTTACCTGAACACCATGGTTCCAACAGTACATAGCATCCAACTGAAATCAATCAATCAATCAATCAATCATCAATGAATTGATAATGTTTACCATAAATGAATGGGAATGCAGTTTCAGCAAATATTATTTAATAAAATTCAATTAATGTATGACAATATTACATTTATTATTTTTTATCAGTTTAAAATCAAGTTTCTCTCTAAATTTTGTGAAATACTCCCGAACGTCCGATCATGCAAATGGGTCATGTTGCACATGGGTCATATTGACAGTGCGCTTATAATCTGTATTCATCTAGACGAGAAACGTGATGAAACAAAATTGGGGACACAAAAATTTCAAAAATTCATCACACACTCGGTTATCACCCTAATTTTTCAAAATTCTGCATATAGTATATTACAGTATAGTGTAGTATGGTATAGTGTACATATAAGAAAGAAGTTTTGACTAAAAACAATGACAATTTCCTATAGAAATAGAACTTCTAACCTTAATGACATGACTTCATAATGCCCTTGAAATATTACAGCAAGGAGAGGAGAGGGGGACTACAACCTAAGAGGTCTTAGGTCACTAAAACTTACTATCATTATCAAATGGAAGGGGAAGCAGGGGGAAGAAAATCAGTTAACCTAAAAGATATACCCTAGACACAATGATATATGGAAAGCTATAAAAAAAAAATAAGATCAATTACAGTGTTCATTTAAAATACAGTACTTGGAATAAAAAAAATGTATTTCCATAAAAAAATACTGTCACAAAAGTACAAACGCACAGGTTTGCATCCTTATTTTTTTGTGAGCTCGCAGAAGTGCATACGAAAAACACTTAGCACAAAAACATTATATAATTGTGAACAATTTTTACAGATGTTTGGGAATGGTGTTCACACACACGTCCCTCATCTATATGTAAACAGCACGCATTCCCTAGTTAAAGTAATAGATTTCTAAACACAAAATACAATGAAATTCACTTCAAAAAAATAAAGTTATAATTATATATACCTGGTTGTGAACTGTTTAAATACACGTCCATCGCGGATTGAAAATAGCGCACATTCCCATTCTCACTGAAACATGTGTGCATATTACAT